CCTGTCCAAAACCCCGGATAAACCTCCGGTAGTAATTCGCAAAGCCCAAGAACTGCTGCACCTCTTTCACTGTGGTTGGGGTTTGCCAATTACGCACGGCTGACACACGGTCAACCTCCATCTTCACCCCTGACGCGGACAACTGATAACCCAAAAAGGAGACCGACTCCTGGAAGAACAGACATTTCTCTGCCTTGACATACAGGTCATGCTCCAACAGCCTCCTCAACACTCGGCGCACCAGGGCTACATGCTCGGCTCGGGTAGAACTGTACACTAGAATATCGTCTATGTACACGACCACTCCCTGCCCCTGCATGTCCCGGAAGATCTCATCCACAAAGGATTGGAAGACTGATGGAGCATTCATTAACCCGTATGGCATGACGAGATACTCGTAATGACCCGAGGTAGAAACTAAATGCTGTCTTCCATTCATCGCCCTCTCTAATGCGCACCAAGTTGTATGCGCTCCTGAGGTCCAATTTTGTGAAGAACCGTGCCCCGTGTAATGACTCCGTCATAGTCGCAATCAGAGGGAGTGGATAACTTTATTTCACAGTAATCAAATTGAGACCGCGGTAATCGATACACGGGCGCAAACCTCCATCTTTTTTCTTCACAAAAAAGAAGCTAGAGGACGCAGGGGAAGTGGAGGGCCGTATGTATCCCTGTCTCAGAGACTCGGCAATGTATGTCTCCATTGCCCTCTTCTCCTCTTGTGACAAAGGATACACATGGCTCTGTGGGAGCGCAGCTCCTGCCTGGAGGTCTATCGCACAATCCCCCCGTCTATGAGGTGGCAATCGCGCCGCCCTCGCCTTGCTAAACACGAGTGCTAAATCCTCATACTCGGGGGGAACATGCATTGCGGGCATTTGGTTTGGACTCTCCACCGAGGTCGCCCCTACGGAAACACCCAGACATAGCCCCACACACTGGGCAGACCACCCCTTAAGAGCCTTCTCTCGCCACGAAATGGTAGGATCGTGGGTAATCAACCAGGGAAGCCCCAGCACCACCGGATACGCAGGAGAGTCAATCAGGTATAGCTGAATCGTCTCCTCATGACCCCCCTGCGTCTCCATCCTAAGTGGCACTGTGACCTCCCTAATCAACCCGGATCCTAACAGATGGCTATCTAGGGCATGTACAGGGAAGGGATTATTAACCGGTAGGAGAGGGATCCCTAACTCTATACAAAATTTACCATCTACAAAATTCACAGCTGCGCCTGAATCTACTAGCGCCTTATGCTGGGAACGAGGTGCAACCTGTGGAAAACAAACAGGTATGGTTATGTGCACGACAGAATGCTCTGGGTAAGTGGGGCGCCTACTCACCTGGGAGGACTCCCCAATGTGTGGCCTGCTGTCTCGTCCTCCAGGAGACCCTCCCCAGCACCTAGCCGTGGTGTGCCCTCCACGGCCACAGTTGGTGCAGGGGACGGCCCCCCTCGGGCTCCTTCTCCTCCGTTCTCTAGCGCCAGCACCCCCGAGCTCCATAGGACTCGGCTCGGAGGTGCTGGAGGGTGGAATGGGTGACCCCCACCCAGGACGTCCGCGGGTTGCGAGCAGGGTGTCTAGCCGAATGGCCATGTCAACCAATTGGTCAAACGAAAGAGTGGTGTCCCTGCACGCCAACTCTCAACGGACGTCCTCCCTGAGGCTGCAGCGGAAGTGATCTATGAGGGCCCGCTCATTCCACCCTGCATCTGCCGCTAGAGTCCGGAACTCCAGTGCAAACTCTTGAGCGCTCCTCATCCCCTGTCGAAGAATAGACGCTCCCCCGCCGCCTTCCCCTCAGGTGGATGGTCGAATACAGCCCTAAAGCGGTGGGAGAACTCCGCATAGGTGATTGTTGCGGCGTCTATCCTCCTCCATTCGGCGTTGGCCCACTCCAACGCCTTGCCGGTGAGACAGGAGATGAGGGCGGAAACGCTCTCGTGTCCCGAGGGCACCGGGTGTACGGTGGCGAGGTAGAGTTCGATTTGCAACAGGAAACCCTGACACCCGGCGCCGTCGTACGCCCTCGGGAGCGAGAGCCGAATCCCACTGGGTTCCGGAAGTTGGACAGGTGGACTGACCGATGGTGATGGTATGGTAGGTGGGGGCGTGGGTACCCCGCTGGCCTCCCATCGATGGAGGGTGTTCATCACCCTATCCAGAGCGTGCTCGATCTGGTTGATCCTGTCCTCCTGTCCACGAAGGCGCTCCTCAATAATCTCGGTAGGTGCGGCTGCTCCTGCTGATTCCATAGTAATGGTGTGTAATTCTGTCACAGTTGAGTGTAGAAGTGGTGTGGAATCAAGCGCAGGACACACAGAGGCTTCGTACTGACGTCTTTAGTGAAGACAAAAAGAACAAGCCAAACACGGCTACATACAACCTGGCAGGCAAGCGAACTTTACGCACACCGGTAAAGTACATACAAAGGCACAAAAGTGCAGAGCTCTCTACTACACCGAACAGAGAGACAAAAACGAACTAGCATCCCACAGTGACAACGAACAATTACACACAACACATGACAAAACTCAAGAGAACTTATAGGACGCATAATGAACACTAACAAGGAACAGGTGTAACAAAACAGACAAAACCAATCAAACATCGAAACATAGAACGGTGGCAGCTAGTACTCCGGAGACGACGACCGCCGAAGCCTGCCCGAACAAGGAGAAGGAGCAGCCTCGGCCGAAACCGTGACACCCAGTGGAATATAGAGCTGAGAGAGAAAGAGGAAGATGAGAGGGAAAGAAGGAGTGAACGAGAGAGAGAGAGAGAGAGAGAGAGAGAGCTTAGGTTTTTTTAAGACAATGTGTATATCCCAAATGACACCATATTCCCTGTGTAGTGCACCAATAGTGTAAAGTAGTGCACTAAAGGGAATAGGGTGCCATTTGGGAAGCATGCAACATATCAATATGTGATGGCTATGGGATATAGGCCTACTAGTAATACCAAGCCTGTTATTGGTCCAGCATGTATTCTTTCTGATGTCACAGTGTAACGTGTTCCAACAGGAGGGAGCCTATCAACAAAACCCTGTGGGATTGTTACTATTCTACTGATCTAAATGTTGCTCCCAATACAGGGATCTACTGTATAGAAACAGAAGTAGGACAGAAGACATTAGAGAAGGGATCTCAGGGTGAACACACACTCTCCATGGTCTGAGTAGACCTCAACACATTCAGGTTAGACACAACTAGACATACGCATCCTGGCATCATGGATCTATATGATTCATATCACTGTGTGGGTGTCTTTACAAAAAGCTAGTCCGAGAGGCTTATTGGCCTGGGTGTGTGTGTGTGTGTGTGTGTGTGTGTGTGTGTGTGTGTGTGTGTGTGTGTGTGTTAAGAAGACATCTACAGTAGATTATTTGTAACAATATTTTAATTGTGGCTAAAATTACAGACGTACCGAAACACACCCAGACTCTCTCTCGCTCTTTCTCTCTCGCTCTCTCTCATACTCTCACTCACACACACAAACACACACACTACACAGTAAAGTACAACACTAAGTGCTTACATTCAGAACTTTGTTGATAAAAGGACATGAAAATGGTACGTTCTCAAAAAGTATAAAACACACAACTTGTGGAAGTAAAAGTGCAACAGAATAGAATAAAATACATTGTTTACATCGTTTTAAGACTTTACCTCCATGATCATGGGATTCAAAAAGCAACAAACCGGTCGTCCCACAACTTGTTGTGGTTAAGTCCAGGTCGGGGCAACTCCTCTCAAATTGCTACACTATATTTTGTTGGCCAGTAATAAATAAAACAAGAGTTTTAAGATGGAGCAATGAGTGACAATCCCGGTTGGAGAATCCGGACTTCCTGTTAATTCCCCCATGATTCAGGGAATCTTCCCACAGGGATAAAAAAAAAAAAACTGTTGATAAATGCTGTATTTGGACAAAAGCATTGCAAGTGTTCACAACAAATCTTCTAATATCTCATTATATACATAGAGGTGGCCATGGTAACACTTTATAATAACTATCTTGAATAAACCTTTTAACGATGTATACACTATTAACAATTATATTTGGAAACATTTATAAACATTTATAAGAATGTGTAAGCATTAATAGCCTTCCATTCCATAAGAATTTACAACATTTACAATAATTTATAAACATGCACATTCATTTATAAAGGCTTATTCTTAAAAGTTATTAATAAAGTGTTAAAGATAAATACACATTTACAGTATAACACTCCATTTGGTCACAACTAACACATATCTTCACATAATCTTACATTTTTCTAAAAAATGTATTTGTGTAGAAAAGTCACCATATCTTGTGCTCTTGGTAATAAATATGACTATAAATGTATCACATAAATGTAAAGGAAGAAAGCTTATGTTCATGATTATGGTTTCATCTGTCTATTTGACGAGGTGGTGTAAAATAGTACATTTCTTTTGTGGCTGTAAAAATGACAAAGAGGATATGGATTGCTATTGGATGACATAAAGATCATATGGATTCCTATTGGATGACATGAAGATCATATAACTTCTGATTGGATGACATAAAGATCATATGGATTGCTATTGGATGACATGAAGATCATATCATTTCTGAATGGATAACCTAATGCTTGATAAGACAGTGGTTAACATCAAGTTTGGTATGAAGTGTCTAATCAGGGGTGGAACTTAAGGAATTTGGGCACTGGCCAGCCTGGCTAGTGGAGCACCATTTTTACTATCTGGCTGGCTAGTTGGACACATGTTCTACTAACCTGAAAAGTACTATCCTCTGGGTTGTCACTATCTGGCAAGATGCTAAGTCAGACACCCTGCCCATTTCTACAATGTATCTTAACCCTAACCTTAACCACACCGCTAAACCCAAATCTTTGTTTTCAGAAATGTTTACAATATCGACCATTTTGACTTTACAGTTTGGCCATCTAGTGGGAACCTTTGTCATGGCAGGGGGAGTAAAGAAGTGCATTGTGGGGGTTTGGTGACTTCACATCTGCGACTCTCCTGTGTTCTGGGCGCTCCTTGACCCCTAGGACAGACAAAGGTCAAAGGACAGAGGTTAACTTAATGAAAGTGGTGTGTGTGTGTGTGTGTGTGTGTGTGTGTGTATGAGTGTGTGTGAGTGTGTGTGTGTGTACCTGGGAGTTGCTGGAGGAAGGATTGGTAGTGCTGACCTCTGAGTATCTCTTCTTCTGTGGTGTGCAGATACAGGACAGGAGCTTGCCATACTCCACTCTCACCTGATGGGGGCAGCAGAGCACAGTGTTACACACACACACAACACACAACACACACACAACACACACACACACAACACACACACACAACACACACACACACACACACCTTACCGTTTTGTTCAGTAGGCAGTGCATGATGAACAGCAGAGCTCCCTGTAGAGAGTTGAGGATGGTGAAGAGATATGTCATGACCACTGTCCCCTCCTCTTGGAACTGGAACATTCCAAATATCCACATAGTACCCAACACACACAGCTGGGCCACTGCTGTCACTGTGAACACCCTGGAGAGAGAGAGGAGGAGGGAGGGAGGGGGAGGGGGGGGAGGGGGGGAGGGGGAGGGGGGGGGGGGGGGGAGGGTAGGAGGGCGGGAGGGGAGGGAGGTGGGGGGGGGGGGGGGGGAAGGCGGGGAGACGGAGAAGGAGCGGGGGAGGGAGGGAGGAGGGGGAGGGGTGAGGGGAAGGGGGGAGGGAGGAGGAGTGGCGGGAGGGAGGGGAGGAGGAGAAGGGAGGGAGGGCGGAGGAGGGGGAGGGGGGGAGGGGGAGGGGGGGGAGGGAGGGGGGGGGAGGGGGAGGGAGGAGGGGGGGGAGGGGGGGGGGGAGAGAGCGGAGCGGGGACGGGAGGGAGGAGGGGGAGGGGGAGGGAGTGATGGGCGGAGGATGTGGAGTTGGTATGGGAGTCCGGGGATGGCGGAGAAGGGAGAACAAGGGGAGGGAGGAGGGGAGGGAGGAGGGGAGGATGGGGACGGTAGGGGGGAGGGGGGGGGGGAGGGAGGAGGGAGGCGGGCGAGGGAGGGGGGAGGGGGAGGGGAGGGGGGGAGGGGAGGAGGAGAAGGGGAGAAACAAGGGGAGGTGACGGGGAGGGGAGGGAGGAGGGGAGGAGGGGGGGGGAGGGGGGGGGGGGGGGGAGGGGAGGAGGGGGGGGGGGAGGAGGGGAGGGGGGGAGGGGGGAGGGAGGGGGGGAGGGGGAGGGAGGAGGGGGGGGGGGAGGAGGGGGAAGGGGGGGGGGGGGGAGGAGGGGGAGGGAGGGGGGGGGAGGGGGGAGGGGGGGAGGGGGGAGGGGGGAGGGGGGGGGGGAGGAGGGGGAGGGGGGGGGAAAGGGGGGGAGGGGGAGGGGGGAGGGGGGGGGGGGGGGGGGGGGAGGGGGAGGAGAAGGGAAGGGAAAAAGGGGAGGGAGGGAGGGGAGATAAAAGTTTTTTTTTCAGTTTTTTAATTTTAAGGATCCCATGGCATCTTTAAAAAATGAAATTTCATTAATTAATTCATTCCCCACCCTTTGGGGGCTGGCCCAAACCCCTGCACTACATTCTTTCATTCAAACCCAAACTGTCCCTTTCCCCAACTCTCTTTTCCCCTCCAATTTTTGGGTCTTCCCCTTTTCCTTTTCTCCATCACTTTCTCTGTCTCTTCCTGTCTCTCTCTCTTTTCTCTCTCTTCTCTCTTTTCTCTCTCTCCCTCCCTCCCCCTTGCATCTCTTCCCGTCTCTCTCACATTTTCCCTTTATTTTTTGATTTAAAACCCCTTTTCATCCCTCCTCTTTCCCTTCCCCCACACCCCCACATTTGTCCTTCAGTCAGGGAAATTTTCCCTTTTCTAACTACCAAATTTGGGGGTTCTGATTTTTTCCTGATTGTCTCTCTAAACAAAACACCCCCACACACACCACACACACACACCAAAACACCACACCCACACACACATACACCCCACCCACACACACACTCACCCCACACCCCACACACACACCCTTACGCTTGGGTTGGGAGGGGGGAGGGGGGTCAGGGGGTTTTTTAAAAATAGAAATTCGGGCCCGCCTCCGACAGAATAAAAAAGGGAAAGAAAAAAGAAAAACGTTTTTAGGATGATTTTGGTGCACACTGGGCCGAAGAAACTCCAGATGAATCCTCTCTCCAGAGACAACCAACAGCTGACAGAGACACACAGAGAGGATAACGTTAGATGCATGGTATATTTATGTTATGTTGTGTTCATTTTGAGTTAGGTTAAATTAAGGGTATTTCTCTAGAGATAACCAACAGCTGGCAAACAGAGAGGATAACGTTAGAATAAGGTTACATTAACGTTGAATTAGGTTATCTGGTGTTATTTTCATGTTGTATTTATGTTTGATATAACCTCTCTCCAGAGACAACCAACAGCTGACAGACACACAGACAGAATAAGGTGATAAGTGTTACGTAATACATTTGCAACACAATCTTTCTGTTTCTCACCCTCTCTCTCTCTCACTCTCTCTCTTTCTCTCTCTCTCTCTGTCAAGCCCTGGCTCTGGGGACTCTAGTATGTTGAGCCAGGGTGTGAGTTTTCATGTGTGTTGGTTCTAGTTGTTGTATATCTATGTTGGCCAGGGTGGCTCCCAATCAGAGACGGCTGTAGCTCGTTGTCTCTGATTGGGAGTCATACTTAGGTAGCCGTTAGGCATTCATTCATTGTGGTTTCTTGTTCGTGTTGGTTTGTGTTTGACCATTGACTGTCACGTTATCGTTTTGTTGTTTTGATCGTGTGATCATTATATAAATAAATATGTTCGCATTCAACGCTGCGCCTTGGTCCTCCTCTCTTCTCGACGATCGTGACAGAAGAAACCACCAAGACTGGACCAAGCAGCGTGTCCAGGAGCCATCGCCAGGGAGATCTCTAGCAGATCTCCTTCGCCTCCTGGACTGGGTCAAGCCGGGTGAGGAAGAGAAGGGCTTGACATGGAAGCAGAAGGGCGAAAGGCTGGCGAGGGACATGGAGACCTGGTCCACGGGTAGGAGAGACGCCCAGAAATTTTTTAGGGGGGGGCTAACGCCGTGGACGACGGGCCAGCAGGAGACCGCGGCAGAGCGGCCCAGCGGGTTGGCAGAGGAGGCCGCCAGGTTACGGGGACCACTGGTCGAAGAGGGGGTGGAAGGTGTAGAGGCACGGCGAGAGGTACTGGGGTGTGTTACCAGTCCGGTCCGGCCCATTCCAGATCCCTGCGTAGGACCAGTGGTGTGTGTCCCCAGTACGGTCCGGCCTGTTCCTGCTCCCCGCACCAAGTCAGTGGTGCGCTTCGTCAGCCCGGCTCGGCCCGTTCCTGCTCCCCGCACCAAGTCAGTGGTGCGCTTCGTCAGCCCGGCTCGGCCCGTTCCTGCTCCCCGCACCAAGTCAGTGGTGCGCTTCGTCAGCCCGGCTCGGCCCGTTCCTGCTCCCCGCACCAAGTCAGTGGTGCGCTTCGTCAGCCCGGCTCGGCCCGTTCCTGCTCCCCGCACCAAGTCAGTGGTGCGTTTCGTCAGCCCGGTTCGGCCCGCCCCTGCTCCCCGCACCAAGTCAGGGGTGCGTTTCGTCAGCCCGGCTCGGGCCGTTCCTGCTCCCCACACCAAGCCAGTGGTGTGCGTCGTCAGTCCGGCACAGCCCGTGTCTGTTCCACTGGTGCCTGGTTCAGCACGGGTCAGCTGCTTCACGCCGGAGCTAGAGCAATCCGCTCCACCAGTTTGCAGTCCAGCTCCGGTCAGCAGGGCCAGACCGGACCAGGGGTACTTTGGGGGGTTAGAGAGCGAGTGGGGATCATGCCCGGAGCCGGATCCGCCGCCAAGGCGGAGTGCCCACCCGGTCCCTCCCCTGTGGTATTTGGTTGGCGCGGTCGGAGTCCGCGCCTTTAGGGGGGGGGGGTACTGTCACGCCCTGGCTCTGGGGACTCTAGTATGTTGAGCCAGGGTGTGAGTTTTCATGTGTGTTGGTTCTAGTTGTTGTATATCTATGTTGGCCAGGGTGGCTCCCAATCAGAGACGGCTGTAGCTCGTTGTCTCTGATTGGGAGTCATACTTAGGTAGCCGTTAGGCATTCATTCATTGTGGTTTCTTGTTCGTGTTGGTTTGTGTTTGACCATTGACTGTCACGTTATCGTTTTGTTGTTTTGATCGTGTGATCATTTTTAAAAAATATGCGATTTTAACGTGGTTGGTCCTCCCTCCTGACGAGGAACCCCCCGTTCTCTCCCTTGCTCTTCTCTTTTTTCTCCCTTTTTCTTTCCCCTTATTTTCTATTAGTTTACAATTTAAAAATGGGGGAAAAGGGGAAAATGGCATTTTCTCGCCCTCAGCTCGGGGTGCTCCTGCCCCCTTAAAAGTAGGTGTACTGCCCTTTAATCTAGAAACAAAACAGTGCTGGGTGCAGCCCCAAGAGTGGTGCTTTCCACCGGCTGGTATTGGATCAAGGTGGGGCTTTTTTTCCCCCGTGGATCGCACAGTGCCATTTTTGGGTCAGTTTTAAAAAAGCACAAACTAGTTACAAAACCCCTTTTCAAAAATTTTTTCTCTCCTTCTTTCCTTGTCTCTCTCTCTCTTTTCTCTTCTCTCTCTCTCTCTCTCTCCTCTCTAAAAACACCCCACATTTTAATATGCAGTACAAATAAATGGCGCTCTGTTCACAACGGTATGTATTCCTAGGCAATTTGGGAGTTTCAAGTTTGGGAGAGCTTACATTTTATCCTACCATTTCTACCGATCTACGTGCCAGTTATGATTTTCATATGCGCATTTTCGTGGAACAGTTTCCTTTCAATAATAACGTGTTCATTTCGCAAAATCACTGTCACGTGATTGATAATACAAATCGGAATTTAAATGATTAATAGGAGAGCACCAGACCCTCCCATATGGACACATTGATTCACCATGAGCCATTGGCCAACCTGGTCTCAGAGCATTTCGTATTATTCTGTATGTAACTCTGTAACACTCCCATTTACATTTTTTGTAATTTAGCAGACGCTCTTATCCAGCGCATACATTATTATTATTTTTTTTCATACTGGCCCCCCGTGGGAATCAAACCCACAACCCTGGCGTTGCAAACACCATGCTCTACCAAATGAGCTACATCCCTGCTGGCCATTCCCTCCCCTACCCTGGACGACGCTGGGCCAATTGTGCGCCGCCCCATGGGTCTCGGCCGGCTACGACAGAGCCTAGTGGCACAGAGATCTAGCCTTAGACCACTGCGCCACTCACTTAGTATGATATTTTAAGTTTCGTATTATATGTATTAATTTGTGGATGTCCATCACCCTTTTCGTATTATATGTTCCGAATTTGAAAACATATAATATGTTAAGTATTTGCAAAATGTACTATATGTTACGAATTTGCAAAACGTATGATATGTTACAAATTCTAGCTATGTGGCTGGGTGGCTAACATTAGCAAGCTGGCTAACATTAGCTAGGCTAGGGGTTAGGGTTAAGGTTAAGTTTAGGAGTTAGGTTAAAGAGTTAAGGTTAGGGTTAGGGGAAGGATTAGCTAAAAGGGTTAAGGTTAGGGTTAGGATTAGCTAAAAGGGTTAAGGTTAGGGTTAGGGGAAGGGTTAGCTAACATGCTAAGTAGTTGCAAAGTATCTAAAAAGGAGTAAGTAGTTGAAAAGTTGCTAATTAACTAAAATGCTAAAGTTGTCCATGATGAGATTCGAACTCGCAACCTTTGGGTTATATACCCACCTGTCCACCCTAACCAACCACCCTATTAAGTATCCATCTGTTTTATGTAACCAAACCAAATGTAACATATCATACTAATTTCAGTGTGCCGGATTAACATTGACTATGTTACGTCTAGTCCATGATACCAGGCTGCATTGGCGGCTAAAGAAGTGAGTGCATGGAACTGAAGAGATAGCCAGGGCCAACATAGCAGTGGGCTTAAAACTTCCACCATCAAGTAAAAATACATAAAACCGACAAATAAAAACAGTAGAAAATATCCAGATGAAAATGCAGGTTCATTCAATCACATTCATCTCTCTACTCCACCTGTCTGCCTCCCTTTCCATCTGTCTTGAATTGAGCTATCACTAGTGAAGTGCAACATTGTATCAAATTAATCAACTGGGTCCAAAATTAATAAATAATGGTATGAAATAAACCAAAACTTGTTTCTCACAAGTGTAGCAGGTTGTGAATTCTGCAAACAACGTTTCCACTCCGAGAATGAGAACGGTAAGTGACTGTAGGCTTAATCAATCCATGCATTAACAGAAATTAATGTAACCAAATGATGGTATTAATGGTACATTTACTACTGGTGAAATGTGTATGGGAGAATTTATTTAAAAAATAAACAATCAAAGGGGAAACACGCTTGTGATTTTAAACAATCCACAGCTTTAACAGCTTTAAAAGGAGCTAATGATCCTCTGTGGTTAAGCCATGCTGTCTGGTGAAGTTTTGAATTATTTTATTTATTTCTGTATAGACAGGAGTAATTATACAATTTTGGCAAATGTATTTTAATTTACTTTAGGCTGCAGTGACTACTGTTATCGAATATTGTCCTATGCTTAGGCTACTCATCACATTAGGAGTTGTATTTTATTGTTAGCCTGCAAATACTTTATTATAAAGAGGTTGGGAGAGAGGGGAGGAGAGAGAGAGTCAGAGAGAGAGAGAAACACTCAGCACCCCCTACAGAACATCTTCCTGCGGCTTGTGGTTGCACAACTGTTCCACCGCCAGCGATCAACTTTACATTTCGAAATAACTGAACTGAATTGTGCTGGCAGAAGAGTGCGTGACTGACTACCCTTACCACAACTCTCTGGTACCGTCGACCAATAGCGAACGGGCTCAGTTTGACTGACAGCTACTGGAGCCAATTATGAGCTCGGATGGCCCGATGCCCGTGACGTTTTGAGCCGGGTTTATTTTGGGAGGATTTGCTGAAAGAGTGAGAGAAGAGATAGAGAGAGATACCTGTGTTATCCGCGGCTGAACTTTGTAAAGATTTTAGTTTTCACTTTGGTGTTTTATTGATCTATTGCGTTACTTTCTTACATTCATAGGTTACTTTCTGTTGGTTGTAGTATATGCGATAGGCTACTGTACATCAACAGTGAAGTTTAGCTTGCTGTTTCTAGCTCAGTTAAACGAAATAAGCAACAGTAACCTAGGGGTACCGGTGAGAGTAGTCAGGTGTAGCCGAGAGAGAGTGCTCTTATCGTGGCCGCCGACACACAGAGTCCGCTATCTGCGACGGATACGTAGCACCCTGAACAGGGGTTGAACACATCACGTAGCCGGTCAAACTATCATACAGGTGAGCACCACTATTCATAAACATTGGGGGTAGCGCCAAATTCATGATATTAATAATAAACATTTACATTTGGATATTGTCTTTTAACAATTACATGTATATACCATTTAGAGCAAGGGATGGGCAACTTTGATGAGGCAACAAAACATCAGCGGAGAGAACATTTTGACGTTTTAGAGTTAAAGATTTTAAGTTAAAGATTTTGCAATTCTATAACTAATTTCCTGCAATTCTACACATTTTGCCATAGGGTTGATACATGTTTGATGTGTGTGTCTATAGTACGCCTTGGGGGGAGTGTATACCCCCCCCAAAATATTGGCATGTTGGAGATGTGAAGCAAATAAGAAACATTATGGATGTTACATGAAATGGACAAGGTTCTTGGGGAGACTGAACATAACCCTGAAAAAAGAATACTGACAATGGAAAGAGAGAAACCCAGTTGTAGACCAGATAAAAACTTGCTGGAAGTTAGCTTTACAGAGAAAGTTTCAAGATTAACCAGTGTAAGGCGTTGACTAACTGTGGTTGTACATACTGTGGTTGACTTTCCCTCAGAATCTCTTGGATATGATGGAAATCAGTATGTTGACTTCATTGTTTAAAAAAAAAAATCCTCAATACATTTCAATGTGTGTTTTGTTATAGGCTAACTTCCTAGGCAATAATATATGTATTTTACATTTGTCATATACAATGAATTCATTCAGTCATAGATAGTTATTGTGTGTAGTTATAGTGTACTACTTTTGCCCAGGGCCTAAGGAACCCTATTCCCTATGTAGTGCACTACTTTTGACCAGGGCCCATAACGACTTTCTCTTTATAGTGCACTAATTTTGACCAGGGTAATATAATGAAGGATGTAGTGTATTACCTAATAATCCTCTGTTGACCAGGGTAATATAATGAAGGATGTAGTGTATTACCTAATAATCCTCTGTTGACCAGGGTAATATAATGAAGGATGTAGTGTATTACCTAATAATCCTCTGTTGACCAGGGTAATATAATGAAGGATGTAGTGTATTACCTAATAATCCTCTGTTGACCAGGGTAATATAATGAAGGTTGTAGTGTATTACCTAATAATCCTCTGTTGACCAGGGTAATATAATGAAGGATGTAGTGTATTACCTAATAATCCTCTGTTGACCAGGGTAATATAATGAAGGATGTAGTGTATTACCTAATAATCCTCTGTTGACCAGGGTAATATAATGAAGGATGTAGTGTATTACCTAATAATCCTCTGTTGACCAGGGTAATATAATGAAGGTTGTAGTGTATTACCTAATAATCCTCTGTTGACCAGGGTAATATAATGAAGGATGTAGTGTATTACCTAATAATCCTCTGTTGACCAGGGTAATATAATGAAGGATGTAGTGTATTACCTAATAATCCTCTGTTGACCAGGGTAATATAATGAAGGATGTAGTGTATTACCTAATAATCCTCTGTTGACCAGGGTAATATAATGAAGGATGTAGTGTATTACCTAATAATCCTCTGTTGTTGTTCTCCTCTCTCCTCCACTTTCCTCCTTACTTCCTCCTTGTTGTATCTCCATCTCTCCCCTCTCTGTTCTTCCGTCCCACACTTTCCCCTCACATTCCTCCTCTCTTCTATGCCTCCCCTCCCCTCTCTCCTCTTCCCCTCACCTTCCTCCTCTCTTCTACGCCTCCCCTCCCCTCTCTCCTCCTCCCCTCACATTCCTCCTCTCTTCTACGCCTCCCCTCCCCTCTCTCCTCTTCCCCTCACCTTCCTCCTCTCTTCTACATCTGCTTTTCCCCTCTCTCTCCTATCCCTCTCCTCTTCTCAACTCCCCCCTGTACCCTTTCTCACCCGCTCCCTTGCTTCCTCCCCCTCTCCATTCCTCCCGCTCTCCATATCACCCCCTCTCCATTTCACCCCCTCTCCATTCCTCCCCCTCTCCATCCTCCCCCTCTCCATTTCTCCCCCTCTCCATTTCACCCTCTCCTCCCCCTTTCTCCTCCCCTCGCCACTCTCTCACCTCCCTCCCTCCCTCCCCTCCCTCCCTCCCTCCCTCCCCTCCCTCCCCTCTCTCTCCTCCCCTCTCCCCCACCTCCTCTCTCCCCTCCCCACCAGTAATAATGCTACTTGGCAGTGTGTCTGCATCTCTGAGATCCATAGGGGTGGTGCTCAGTTCTGTACCCTGGTCATGGACCCTGGCGGCTGGGTTAGGACTGTACCTCACCGCGGGGGGATGGAGGTTCCTCTATGTGGCTCTACGAACCGCCAAGAGAGACCTAATGTTAGTATGGCTGTAGAGAGAGAGGGAGGGAGGGAGGGAGGGAAAGTGGGAGAGAGGCAGGGTGGGGGGAGGAAGGGAGGAGTGGTTGGGTGGGATGTCTATCTGTCTGACTTGCTATCGCCCTCCCTCTCTCCCCCTCCCTCCCTCCCTCCCTCCTCTCTCCTCTCTCCTCTCTCCTCTCTCCTCTCTCCTCTCTCCCCAGCAGAGGTCTATATGTGCTGCTGCGTGTTAAATACTGCATCCGGCAGCACCTCCGTAACAACAGTACTGTACCTTCCATGTTTGCCCATACGGTGGCGCTATACCCAGACAAGCCTGCGCTGGTCTGGGAGTCTACCGGAGAGGTATGTTATATTAATTATATCAACAACAAACAAATTATAGTTTTTACTGTAAAGTGTGAGTCCTGGTGAAATACACTTTAAATACATTGTGATATGATTTACATTTACATTGTTGAATATACACTACCGTTCAAAAGTTTGGGGTCACTTAGAAATGTCCTTGTTTTCGAAAGAAAAACAATAGTTTTGTCCATTAAAATAACATCAAATTGATCAGAAATACAGTGTAGACATTGTTAATGTTGTAAATGGCTATTGTAGCTGGAAATGGCTGATTTTTTTATGCAATATCTACATAGGCGTACAGAGGCCCATTGTCAGCAACCATCAGTCCTGTGTTCCAGTGGCACGTTGTGTTTGCTAATATGCCTTTGTTGTAAATGTTTTGGCGCCAAACTGGTGGCAGCTGTGAAAAAAGTCAACAGTTGGAAGAGTTAAGTGAAAATAATGCTATTGTTGATAAGATGCTTTTTTTTCATTAATTAGGCTATTTACTTTTGAACCGTCTGGTCTATCCACTAGAAACTCATGGGTAATATACAAAATGAATATATTACACAGATATAAAAAAATTAATAATATACGAATACATTCTTTAAACGTTATTCAAGCATAAATTACCAAAGTTAGAATTGATTGCCATAGATTACCTGTTAGTTACTAAAATTACAGAAGATTCGTATTTTATCACAGTCATTGCAAGTAGGCTATTGGATTGAGTGGACGTGTAACCAGGCCAGCCTAGCGCAGCTCAGTGTGGCTCGGTTTGGAGCCTAGCGCAGCTCAGTGTGGCTCGGTTTGGAGCCTAGCGCAGCTCAGTGTGGCTCGGTTTGGAGCCTAGCGCAGCTCAGTGTGGCTCGGTTTGGAGCCTAGCGCAGCTCAGTGTGGCTCGGTTTGGAGCCTAGCGCAGCTCAGTGTGGCTCGGTTTGGAGCCTAGCGCAGCTCAGTGTGGCTCGGTTTGGAGCCTAGCGCAGCTCAGTGTGGCTCGGTTTGGAGCCTAGCGCAGCTCAGTGTGGCTCGGTTTGGAGCCTAGCGCAGCTCAGTGTGGCTCGGTTTGGAGCCTAGCGCAGCTCAGTGTGGCTCGGTTTGGTTTCTGTGAATCAGGCTTATATGTATTGTAGAGAACTCAGGGTGGTGGCCTTGACTGGAACTCCATGGTTCCAGTGACTGTCCACCCAACACTTTAGCCATTAACGTCAAGTGATCTGAACCCCTTGACGAGGTTGCTAGGTGATGGCCTTAAGGTTCGCTACAGTCTTTTTTATATTTGTGAAATAAAAACATTTCTTCCTTCAGGTGTGGACCTTCAGGGAGCTGGCAGGGCGATGCCACCAGGTTGCCCATTGGGCACGGACACAGGGCTGGGGAAAGGGGGACGTGGTAGCCCTCTACCTGGAGAGTCGCCCCCTAGTGGTGGTGCTGTGGATGGGCCTGGCGCAGGTAGGCTTTGTTTTTCATTCAATTCCATTTTAAAGTTTATTTAATTTTAATTTACTTTTATTTAATAGTAATTTTATTTGGATTTCAATGTCTCACTTTCTTTTATACATTTATTTATAGAGGTATATCCCATTGAGATCACATATGTATTTTACGAGGGAGAACTCTGTTTTGTTCAGTAAAAGTGTTTTGTTAATGTGATGTTTTGAAAGCGATATTTAAGTAAAGTTTGGTCTGGTTTCATTGGAGGTGGGTGTGGAAGCGGCCCTCATCAACTTCAACCTGCGCAGTGATTCGCTGCTTCACTGTGTGGGTGTGTCCAGAGCGAAGGGGGTGGTGTTTGGGGTGGAGCTAGCAGAAGGTAAGAAGGGAGAAGAGGAGGAGAGGGTTAGGGAGGAGAGGAGGAGAGGGTGAGGGAGAAGAGGAGAAGGGACCTAATTGTTCAATTTTGAGAGCAGCTTCTGTCAGTCAAATCTACTTTGGATACTAATGACCAATGTCCTCCCTCCCTCCCTCCCTCCCTCCCTCCCTCCCTCCCTCCCTCCCTCCCTCCCTCCCTCCCTCCCTCCCTCCCTCCCTCCCTCCCTCCCTCCCTCCCTTCTTCTGCCCTCCCTCCCTCCCTCCCTCCCTCCCTCCCTCCCTCCCTCCCTCCCTCCCTCCCTCCCTTCTCTGCCCCTCCCTCCCTCCCTCCCTCCCTCCCCCCTCCCTCCCTCCCCCCCCCTCCCCCCTCCCTCCCTCCCTCCCCCCCTCCCTCCCTCCCCCCCCCCCCCCTCCCTCCCTCCCTCCTCCCTCCCTCCCTCCCTCCCTCCCTCCCTCCCTCCCTCCCTCCCCCCCCTCCCTCCCTCCCTCCCTCCCTCCCTCCCTCCCTCCCTCCCTCCCTCCCTCCCTTCTTCTGCCCTCCCTCCCTCCCTCCCTCCCTCCCTCCCTCCCTCCCTCCCTCTCCCTCCCCTCCCTCCCTCCCTCCCTCCCTCCCTCCCTCCCTTCTTCTGCCCCTCCCTCCCTCCCTCCCTCCCCCCTCCCTCCCTTCTTCTTGCCCCTCCCTCCCTCCCTCCCTCCCCCCCCCTCCCTCCCTCCCCCCCTCCCTCCCTCCCTCCCCCCCTCCCCCCCCTCCCTCCCTCCCCCCCTCCCTCCCCCCCCCTCCCTCCCTCCCTCCCCTCCCTCCCTCCCTCCCTCCCTCCCTCTATAGCTGTGTTGGAGGTGTCTTGTTCTCTAGACCAGTCTATGGTACTGTTCAGTACTGGGGCTGGTCTGGGTGAGGACCACCCTGCCCTCTCTACCCTCTCAGCCCAAAACCTGGACTCTTTACTGACCTCCTTTCCCCGGGACCCCCCTCCTGTCACACACGTCAAGGGATTCAATGGTGAGACATTGGCCCCAGGGTGGATGTGTGTGTGGGACTGGTGTGTGTGTGGGACTGGTGTGTGTGTGGGACTGGTGTGTGTGTAGGACTGGTGTGTGTGTAGGACTGGTGTGTGTGTGGGACTGGTGTGTGTGTAGGACTGGTGTGTGTGTTGGACTGGTGTGTGTGTAGGACTGGTGTGTGTGTAGGACTGGTGTGTGTGTAGGACTGGTGTGTGTGTGGGACTGGTGTGTGTGTAGGACTGGTGTGTGTGTGGGACTGGTGTGTGTGTTGGACTGGTGTGTGTGTGGGACTGGTGTGTGTGTGGGACTGGTGTGTGTGTGGGACTGGTGTGTGTGTAGGACTGGTGTGTGTGTAGGACTGGTGTGTGTGTGGGACTGGTGTGTGTGTTGGACTGGTGTGTGTGGGACTGGTGTGTGTGTGGGACTGGTGTGTGTGGGACTGGTGTGTGTGGGACTGGTGTGTGTGTGGGACTGGTGTGTGTGTGGGACTGGTGTGTGTGGGACTGGTGTGTGTGGGACTGGTGTGTGTGTGGGACTGGTGTGTGTGGGACTGGTGTGTGTGGGACTGGTGTGTGTGTGGGACTGGTGTGTGATAGGATCTTGCAGTACATTTTACAACATGCTCATAGCAACAGAGAACAGCTATAGAGTTACAGTAGCAAGCTCTTGCATGGCATCCTCTACCCCCCCCCCATCACTTTCTCTCTTTGTCTCCCTCTTTCTCTCCCTCTCTCTCTCTCTCCCCCCCCCCCTCTCTCTCTCTCTCTCCCCCCCCCCTCTCTCTCTCCCCCCCCCTCTCTCTCCCTCTCCCCCTCTCTCTCTCTCTCCCTCTCCCCCCCTCTCTCCCTCTCTCCCCCCCCCTCTCTCTCTCTCTCCCTCTCCCCCCCCCTCTCTCTCTCCCCCCCCCCCTCTCCCCCCCCCTCTCTCTCTCTCGCTCTCTCTGTGTGTTGACTCTATCTCCCCATCATTCCTAAGGTGATGATGATCAAGCCTGTTCATGTTCATTTGCTGACACTCTTACTGTATTCCAACTATCTACAGGTAGCAGCCTGTCTGTACAGTGGGGGGAAAAGGATTTGATCCCCTGCTGATTTAGTACGTTTGCCAACTGACAAAGACATGATCAGTCTATAATTTTAATGGTAGGTTTATTTGAACAGTGAGAGACAGAAAAACAACAAAACAATTCAGAAAAACGCATATAAAAAATGTTATACATTGATTTGCATTTTAATTAGGGAAATAAGTATTTGACCCCTCTGCAAAACATGACTTAGTACTTGGTGGCAAAACCCTTGTTGGCAACCACAGAGGTCAGACGTTTCTTGTAGTTGGCCACCAGGTTTGCACACATCTCAGGAGGGATTTTGTCCCACTCCTCTTTGCAGATCTTCTCCAAGTCATTAAGGTTTCGAGGCTGACGTTTGGCAACTCGAACCTTCAGCTCCCTACACAGATTATCTATGTGATTAAGGTCTGGAGACTGGCTAGGCCACTCCAGGACCTTAATGTGCTTCTTCTTGAGTCACTCCTTTGTTGCCTTGAACGTGTGTTTTGGGTCATTGTCATGCTGGAATACCCATCCACGACCCATTTTCAATGCCCTGGCTGAGGGAAGGAGGTTCTCACCCAAAATTTGATGGTACATGACCCCGTCCATCGTCCCTTTGATGCGGTGAAGTTGTCCTATCCCCTTAGCAGAAAAACACCCCCAAAGCATAATGTTTCCACCTCCATATTTGACGGTGGGGATGGTGTTCTTGGGGTCATAGGCAGCATTCCTCCTCCTCCAAACACGGCGAGTTGAGTTGATGCCAAAGAGCTCAATTTTGGTCTCATCTGACCACAACACTTTCACCCAGTTCTCTTCTGAATCATTCAGATGTTCATTGGCAAACTTCAGACGGGCCTGTATATGTGCTTTCTTGAGCAAGGGGACCCTGCGGGCGCTGCAGGATTTCAGTCCTTCACAGCGTAGTGTGTTACCAATTGTTTTCTTGGTGACTATGGTCCCAGCTGCCTTGAGATCATTGATAAGATCCTCCCGTGTAGTTCTGGGCTGATTCCTCACTGTTCTCATGATCATTGCAACTCCACGAGGTGAGATCTTGCATGGAGCCCCAGGCCGAGGGAGATTGACAGTTATTTTGTGTTTCTTCCATTTGCAAATAATCGCACCAACTGTTGTCACCTTCTCACCAAGCTGCTTGACGATGGTCTTGTAGCCCATTCCAGCCTTGTGTAGGTCTACAATCTTGTCCCTGACATCCTCTTTGGTCTTGGCCATGGTGGATAGTTTGGAATCTGATTGATTGCTTCTGTGGACAGGTATCTTTTATACAGGTAACAAGCTGAGATTAGGAGCACTCCCTTTAAGAGTGTGCTCCTAATCTCAGCTCGTTACCTGTATAAAAGACACCTGGGAGCCAGAAATCTTTCTGATTGAGAGGGGGTCAAATTAAATTAAAATTATAGACTGATCATTTCTTTGTCAGTGGGCAAACGTACAAAATCAGCAGGGTATCAAATACTTTTTTCCCTCACTGTATCATGCACATGTTTTGCCAAGAGATCCGAACCGCCTGACGAGGTCGCTAGGTGTTGGGTGAAGGTCCCTACAATAGATAATACAATAATATTATGAATAAAGTACTGTGCAGTTCAGTCATGGTAGAGGTTGTCTTTAGCCACAGATCTAGGATCAGTTTACCCACCCCAAAACCTAACTTCAAGGGCCAATCCGGGATTGGTAAATCTATTTTATATTTGTAAACTTTTAAATTAGGGATTTATAGCCATTGATTCTTGATGAATATTAATTTTAAATGCCTAATATGTTTAGTTGAACTGACGTACCCCAATCAGAGCCCAAAATATAAGCTTGTGTTAATCCATTGTTTGTAAATAATGTCACAGGGTTAAAAACTATAATTTTGATCTCATGGATGTTCTGTCCTTGCATCTATAGCGCCGTCTATAATTTGAAAGTGGTCACATTTCTCCAGCCCCGTCCCTCAGCTGATAACCAAAACAAGTGTCTGCATTCAATATTTTATGTATTTCTATTCTATTCTGTTGCAGTTTTACTTCAACAATCAGTTTGCTTTAGTTTATTTAAAAAATGACTTTATATTAAATGAAGAAGTATTTTAAGCAATATATATATTTTTAGAACGTACAATTGTTCTGTCCTTCTATGAGCAGAGTTCTGAATGTAAGCACTTAGTGTTGTCCTTGACTGTGTTCTCTGCAGCAGTTGTGTGTGTGTGGGTCTGCGTGGGTGGGTATGTTTCGGTACATCTATAATTTTAGCCAACAATTAAATTATTGTTACAAAGAACCTACTGTAGATGTCTTCTTGCCACACACACACAGAGACACACACACAGACACACACACACATACACACACACACACACACACATACATAAACACACAAATTTGTTTTATTATCCTTGTGGGGACAATTGATTCCCATTCAAAATTATATTTTCCTTAACCTAATCCTAAACTTACCCCAAAACCCTAACCTCAAAACTAAACCTAACTCCTAACCCTAAATCTCTTACCTGAATTCTAACCCTAATTCTAACCCTAATTGTAACGCTAATTCTAACCCTAATTCTAACCCTAATTCTAACCCTAAATCTAAAAAAGCCCTTTTCCTTGTGTGTTCCGGCGAAATGTCCCCACTTGTCAGAATTGTCCTTGTTTTACTATCCTTGTGAAGACTACTGAGGGGTGTCCTACAGTGAGGGAAAAAAGTATTTGATCCCCTGCTGATTTTGTACGTTTGCCCACTGACAAAGACATGATCAGTATATCATTTTAATGGTAGGTTTATTTGAACAGTGAGAGACAGAATAACAACAACAAAATGCAGAAAAACGTATGTCAAAAATGTTATAAATTGATTTGCATTTTAATGAGGTAAATAAGTATTTGACCCCCTCTCAATCAGAAAGATTTCTGGCTCCCAGGTGTCTTTTATACAGGTAACAAGCTGAGATTAGGAGCACACTCTTAAAGGGAGTGCTCCTAATCTC